GCTTCAGGGTGCATCAGGCAACATTATGTTTGGCTGTATGGGACAGAAAATGCCCGATCATGTAGCTTAAAGAAGATAGAGTTTTATTTTTTGTAGATAAACAAAGTTTGGAGGTAAATCTAGACCCCTGAATTAGTCCTACATCATCCATAAGAAGCTACCGCATGGCCCAAGATGGCTGCTCAAATGCCAGCAATTGCATCTGCATTTCAGACAGGAGGAGGAATGTGTGGGGAAAAGAAGGGTACACTTCCCTTTAAGGTCCCTTCATGAAAATCATATATGATTTACTTTTGCCTGTATTTCATTGTCCAGAATTTATCCCAGGGCTGCCCCTAGCTGCAGGAAATCTGGGAAAGGTAGTTTTTATTCTGGGTGGCGATGTGCCAAGCTAAAAACATCAGGGGTTCCATGTTAAAGGAAGAAGAGGGAAATGAAGAATGCTAGACACTTAGCATTTTCTGCCACATATGATCAAACAAATTTGAGAAATACTTGGTTAAACAAAGTGAAATAGGCTTCTTTACTGCAGAATCTCTCAGGCTTTAGTGCGCTCACGGGCATTGCTAATCGGTAAAAGGGCCTGTAGTAGTATGTAGCCTTTCCAAAACATACTACGTTATAGAATTGGTGTGTGTGAAGCACTTTATGGAACTGGTGTTCTGCAGAGGATATTCGGGTAACGCAGTCCTTGATGAACTACAGAGTTCAAAACTAACCAAGCCAGGCAACACGCTTTCATTTTAAAGACTAAATGCCATTCCTTCAATCAGCCTAGACCACCTACCCTTGATCTGACAGGCCCTGGCTAAGTGCTGAGAGAAGTTCCTCTGAGGTGGGTCCGAGCTCCATGTGGGGCCTCTTCCTGCTGGCAAAGGCTCCCCATGGAGGCTGCTCCACCAGGCAGGCAGGGAAGGGCCTGTATCCATTCCTGAGGGCTGCCATGATGAAGGACCACAAACTGGGTGCCTTCAAACAAGGGAAATCTGTTCTCCCGTGCTTCCGGAGGTCAGAAGTCTGGAATCAAGGCGTCAGCTGTGCATGTCCCCTCCGAAGGCTCTAGGGGAGGCTCCTTCTTGCCTCTTCCAGCCCCAGGAGGTTGCTGCCAATCTTGGCGCTCCTAGGTTTGCAGCTGTGTCACTCCGATCTGTGTCTGCATTGTCCCATGGTGTTCTCCCTGTGTACGTGTGTCTCTGTGTCTTTGAATGGCTTTCTCCTCTTTGTGTGTCTGTGTCCAGATTTCTCTTGTCTTATGAGGACACCAGTCACTGGATTAGGGCCTGACTAAGTCCAGTGTTGCCTCATCTTTCCTTGATTACATCTGCAAAGAGCCTGTTTCCAAATAGCACAGAGGTACCCGAGGTTAGGACTTCAACAGATCTTTTAGGGGAACCCAATGCAACCTAAACAGACAGTTTTCCCTCTTCAGCTCACACCTGAGCCAGCCTGGGGCCATGGAAAAGACCCAGCGCTGACGCTGATCCTGCAGCTCTAACCTCCAGCAAATCGACAAATCCCGCTTATCTCTAATTTATTAGCCTTTGCATGAATCTAATGCCCTTCAATGCAGAGCCCTACAAACACACACTGTTTTCCTACTGACTCCCAGCCAGGTATGTGGTGGGGGAGCTGGGCCAGCTGGCAGAGAGCATCACCCACGGCCAGGGAGGTAGGCAGGGATGTGGCCAAATTTTCTTCCTGGGTGCCTCCTCCTAGCCACAGGTGCTCCTTGGCAACTAGGCAGCAGGGCAAGCTGGCTCTGCAGGCAGCCCAGGCCCACCTGGAGCCCATCTCCTGCCCTGGCCGTCCGACCTTCTCATGCAGCTGCGTCACGTTGAACAGCTTTGTAAGTGATGGCCTGGGTTGGTAGTGATAGGGGCACTTCGATTCTATTAATTTCAACAACCGTGGCCAGTTTGCTTTCTCTGTGCATCACAAATTCCTACCTGTCCTTCAAGGCTGTATTAACTCACTAGGGCTATTGTAACAAAGTACTACAAACTGGGTGTTTAAATGACAGAAATGTAATATCTCACAGTTCTGGAGGCTGGAAGTCTGAAATCCAGGTGTCAGCAGGGTTCTTTTTTGTTTTGTGGGATGAAGTCTCGCTCTGTCGCCTAGGCTGGCGTGCAACGGCGCGATCTTAGCTCACTGCAACCTCCGCCTCCTGGATTCAAGCGATTCTCTTGCCTCAGCCTCCTGAGTAGCTGGGACTACAGGTGCACGCCACTACACCTGGCTACTTTTTGTATTTTTCTGTAGAGATGAGGTTTCACCATGTTGGCCAGGCTGGTCTCGAACTCCGGACCTCAGGTGATTCACCTGCATTAACCTCCCAAAGTGCTGGGATTACAGGTGTGAGTCACCGTGCCTGGCCTGCTTCTTTTGGAGGTTCCTTCCTTCCTCCTTTTTGCTGGGAGGGAGAATTTGTTTGAGGTCTCTCCCTGGCTCTGGTGCTTTGCTGGCAATCTTTGGCGTTCCTTGGCTTGTAGCTGCATCAGCCCGGTCTCTGTGTTCATCTTCTTGTGTGTCTGTCTTCAAATTTCTGCTTTTTATAAGGACACAAGTTATATCGGATTGGGGTCCACCCTCTTCCACTATGACCTAATCTGAACAAATTACCTCTGCTATGCATCTACTTCCAAATAAGATCACATTCTTAGGTACTACAGGTTAGGATTTGAACATCTGAATTTTGGGATGGACTCAATTTAGATCATAACAGAGGCCCATCAGAAATCTCGCCTCCTCCAGGAAGCCTTCTGCACTCAAAATCATGCAATCCCCCTTTCTGGAACTCCCATAGCACATAATGTCTGAGGAACTCAGTGGCCCAGGGCCACTTGGGTATTTATATTCTGTCTCTCTGAGGCTGGACTCAACTCTGGGTTGATGGCATTCATAGTTTTTGAACACAAGCGCAGCACCGCAGAAGCCTTTTTATCTGATGTTATTAGGACTGGTAGTTGGGTAGTAAATTGAAAATCCAAAAGGAATGCCAGCAAGCAGCGTGGCTCAGCATGAGGTAGGCAGCAGATTGATGCAAGAGTAGACAGCAAAGGTTAACCACTGTGTTAGTGAAATCGACGTTGGCTAGGAGAGATTCTCCTGAACAAAAAAACAAACAGCAGCCACCAAAGCCCAAGAAGGATGAAATCCGGATGTGAAGTTATCCAACTTCCCATTGAGAGTAGATTTCTTTTTAAAGGAACCATCAAGACTCTGTGCCATTTAAGACTCCTATCTGGTTTGGGTGTCAAGGGAAGTGGCCATACAAGCTGTTTGGGACTCTAAAAGTGGAATGGAATCCAGGACACAGTGAGGGGCCCCTAGGGAACCTGAATGATTTTGTTTTTGTTTTTTGAGATGGAGTCTTCCTCTGTTGCCCAGGCTGGAGTGCAGTGGCATGATCTTGGCTCACTGCAAACTCCACCTCCCGGGTTCAAGCGATTCTCCTGCCTCAGCCTCCTGAGTAGCTGGGATTACATGTGTGTGCCACCACGCCTGGCTAATTTTTGTATTTTTAGTAGAGACTGGGTTTCGCCATGTTAGCCAGGCTGGTCTCAAACTTCTGACCTCAGGTGATCTGCCCGCCTTGGCCTCCCAAAGTACTGGGATTACAGGTGTGAGCCACTGCACCTGGCTGGGAACCTGAAAGATTCTGGAAAATAAAGTTGTCTTTTGAGAGTTAAACTATAAAACAAGCATAATAGGCCCAAAGCAGGGATTGGCAAAGACTTTGTTTCACCTGTTTCGCAGTGTCAACATACCCCCAAAAGACTGGCCATCAGAAGAGTGTGTGTGTGTGTGTGTGTGTGTGTGTGCGGGCGAGTGTGTGTGAATGTATGTATGTGTGTTGTGCATGGCAGTGTATGCATGTGAGTGTGAGTGTGAGCATGTCTGTGGGCATGTGGGCTTGGGTAATGTGTATGATCACGTGCATGTGAGTGTGAGTGTGAGCATGTCTGTGGGCATGTGGGCTTGGGTAATGTGTATGATCACGTGCATGTGTGTGTGAGTGGGTGTGGATATGTGGACAGCCAGGGAGGCCAAGGAGAGGGAGAATATACTGCCTTTGCCTAGCAAGGTGTAGCAAAGCCAAGCAGTGTGTCCCTGGCTTTCTGCAGGGGAAAGAGGGGGACACTGGGCCAGAAACTCATGCGCCTGGCCTCTGCTGAATCTCTGTCCATTCAGGGGAGATATATGCGTGAAGTCATTGCAATGTGACACCTGTGTACTCATCAGATCACCAACGTCATCTAATGCACTCCCATCACATTCCAGACTCACTCAGTGCTGCCATCAGCTCCCAGGAGCTCTCTCTCCAGGGAGGGAATGTGCCCACCAGCAGACACTCAGACGGAGCACGTGGGGACAGAGGCTGACAGCCTGCCTGGCCATTCCTCCTAGTTCCTCTCCTCAGACTAGCTGGTGTCCTTGTGCAAGTTACTTACCCTCTCTGAGATTCAGTTCCCTCCTCTTTGAAGTGGCTTTAATAATAGTAGCTGCCACATAGGTTGTTGTGAGGATTAATGAGATTACCCATATCATGTGCTTAGCACAATGGCTAATGGACGGCAGGCCTTCCAAAAGTATAAGCTACCATCATAATGATCAATACGATAATAAATCAAAACATCCGTATTGCTTTTCATATGTGCTCCAGCAGGCTGACTGGGAGCACAATCTGCCATCCATCCTGTATCCCCAGAGCTGAGCTCAGGGCCTGGTGGACAGCATGTGCTCAGGAAGCGTTTGTTGCAGAAATGAATGAATGATAGTGAGTGGCAAGTCATGTTTCTAGGTGAGCCATTCTATACACTTGCACTTGGTGACTGGGCCACCTTTCCCTGGGGACAGCAGACCCCAATGAACTCTGGCACATTACTCACTCTTGGAGGGGAGGCAGGAAGGGAAGGAATTTGGAGATGGAGCTCCCTGAGCAGCCACCTGGTCACCAGGCCAGGGCTTGGGTCATTATCACCAAAATTCTCAGGCTGTTGAATTGGGCCATTGATATCTGCTTTTGTTTTATTTTAGTTTGGAGGGAAGCACAAGCATCACTGAGCAAAGTCAGTATCCTCCTATGCCTTGCTACTTATCCTAAGTGTGATTCATGGACCAGCAAAATGGACCTCATCTAGGAGCTTGTTGGAAATGCAGAATTTCAGCCCGACCTACGGAATCAGAATCTACATGTTAACGAGATCCCCAGGGGCTGTGTGTGCATGTCAAAGTGTGAGAGTTTTCTGTCCTAGTGCCACTGCTTTGAGAACTACAGCTTGGTCATCTCTAGAAGAAAATCTAGCATTTGTGAGTTGCCACTTCTCCTGCACTCCAAAATGCACGTCCCAGTTCCTGACCCATTAGAATGAGGTTGTCCAGGGATGTATGGTGCTCTTGCTCCTTCTGGCCATCTCATCTCCCCTCTCCTCTTCTGAAGCTCTTACACTGGTCAGCAACTGGGCCCTTCTTTGCCTTTATGATGAGAAACTTCTCTGCTATTTGCTGATTGAACTGATATTTGTTTTCTTGAAAAGCGTGTTTTAATTCAAGACAGTTGTTGTTAAGGCAAATCTGTCTGCTGTGAGTTTTATCTCCTCTCTGTTGCTTCCTGGTGGTGCCACCCCAGGTCCTGGCATGCATCTTCTGCAGCCCAAGGGGCAAACAACACCCTTAGACTTCCAGACAATCCCCGGCTTCTCCTCCACGTCTTGCCTCATCTCTCCAGCTGTGCAGAACTGGCACACGGGCATGCCCTGCCTGCATTCTTCCCAGCTCATACCTGCTCTGGAGAGAAGACAAACATATGTCAATGACAACACATAAAACCCGATGACAGCCCAAGAACTCCTAAATCTTCCAAATTGCCGTCTGCACTTCCTCTCTCTTTATATCCTGGCATGCCTGAGCTGAACCGCCCCCCGGATCCAGTCCCAGCAGCTGTAATCATGTGTTCGCGTCTTCCAGCTGCTTTGGGAAACGCTGGGGTTCCAGGTACCAGCCTCTTCCCGGCTGCACCTCTCCAGAGTTGGAGACAGCTAAGGCATGAGGGTCCCTGGGAATTGGGAACAGAGGACAGGGCCTAGAGCACCTCCAGACCCAAGTGTCCTTTGACTTTGCACGTGGAAAACCAAGAAATGACTAAATCCAGTGAATTAGCCACAGGAATCCCACTGCAGGAAAAAAGAGAATCCCTAGTTGGAAGAGTTATGGCAAAGAGACAGCGCCTCCTTCTCCAGCAGCTCTATGCTAAATACGGAAACTCCAAAGAAGGGTTACAATTTTCCTTGAGCATCTGGAAATTAGGTTCTGCTCTCGGGCTCAAGTTAAAAACAGTGGTTGGAATTCTGGTGTCAACTTTGCCAGATAAGGGGGGATTGGGGCAGCTCCTTGGTGGTGAAGTGACATCCTGGCTGGCCTCTGTGCCTCAGTATTGGTGAAGGACTTTGGGAAACAAAGGCTCCAGGACAGCCCATTTGCTCATCACAGGTGCAAAGAGGCCAATACTTGGCCTCCAACGTTTTTTAAAACTCTAGAGAAGAATCTTTCACTTTGGCTGGGGAGAAGCAAAGGCATTTAATAACTCATTTCTTAATGAAGAATGAATCATTTTTAAAAGCTTTCCGCCTCTTTTACCAACTGACCCTATAATTAGAAAAAGCATTCATTTCCTTTTTACTGCTGGCTCCCTAAAGCGAGATCTAGTGGTCAGGGACTATCGGGAAACAGAAGCACACTCAAATTAGGATGCTTTAAGGAGTCCCTTAAAAAAAAAATGTGTATCCTGCCCACACCTGCCTTGACTAAGGTGTGGGCAGGGTATAGGGAAACTGAAAGGGCTGGTGCGATATCCTGGAGCTGGGATCTCAGTGCAGGGCTCTTACCACCCCTGGGCCTAAAGTGCCGACAGGAGAGAGTTACCGAGTCTGGAAGGAGACAGTCAAGCGGAGAGGTGGCATTGACAGGAGCTGGGATCTTCAGCTGAGGCATGCAGCCAGCCTGAGATGACCCTGTGAGAACAGAGACAGGGGAATAAATATGCCAACTTCACTGACCGACTTCCTTCTAGTCTATCAGAGACCCCATTGACCAGACCCAGCCCAGAGCCAGAGCGGGAGCAGTCTATTACTATAGGACAGACAGGTCAGTCTCGTGGGGTAGAGAGCAGCGTGGAGAGGGGCAAAGGGTGGATCTGGAGAGGCTGAGAGGAGTCACCTGGGACCAGAGCTGCTCTTACATTCCCTCTGCACCCCGCCTGATGCATTCCTTCTTAAAGCTGCTGCCATGCAAGCATCTTGTCATTTTGCTCTGGAGCACCCGTCTGTGGTTTTCATTATTATATATTGCCTAGATCTGTCTTCTGCCAAGCCAGTTTGTAAGCCCTTAGAGACAGAGATTGCATCTCTCTTGGATTTACCCACCGCCCTGGGGTACATATGTTCCAAGTCTCCTTTGGCTTTTTACATGGAAAACCAACCAAGAAATGAATAAATCCAGTGAATTAGCCACAGGAATCCCATGGCAGGACAAAAGAGAATTCTCAGTTGGGAGAGTTGTGGCAAAGAGAGAGTACCTCCTTCCCAAGCAGCACAATGTATATACAAAACATATGGACAAGTGCGTGTGTGTGTGCTTGCGCATCAGCGAGGAGAGGGCAGGTGACGTTGCAGGTAACAACCACCTGATCTCAGCAGCATTATACAATAAATATTTTCTTTTGTTCACATTACCTGTCCATTGCAGGTCAACATGGAGTGGTGTGCGTGTCATAGTTAGTTTGGGACCCCCGATGGTGTCTTCTCAACACACACATCCCCAATTACAACAGAAGAGAGAGTATGGAGTGAATTACTCACTGGCCCAATGTGTCCCTTCTGTACACATTTCATGGGCCAAAGTGGGCTTGTGGCCATGCCTAACTGTCACAGTCAGGGAAGGAGAAGCCTCACACGCTCAGAAAGCAGGGAACTAGAGACATTTGGTGAGCAGTCTCCCAAAGTGGCTGAGGTTGGTCTCTACCAGGGGTCCATGGAGGAATGAATAATTTTGAATTAAGTGGAACAGTGGGTGTCAATACAAATTAAATGAATAAAAAAATCTATGCCTTTTGACATAGGAATTCAAATCAGTCAACTCAGCAACAGAAAAAAATTAGCCAATCAAGTGTCCAGGAATTATAGAAATCAAATGATTTGTAAGACACAGACTAGTTTATATTACAAGACCCCATTTCTGGCTGGTTTCAGCATAGCCTATGTTATTTGACATGAATTGTGCCTGGGATGTGGATTCTTCATTGGGGGAGAATCAAGTTCTCCCCCAATTCGATTATGTAATTGTTTTCCAGATTCTCATGTCCTTGGCTATTCTTTAAGATTCGGACAGACTGATAAAGATCCGCTCACTGATCCTGATGCCCTCTGTGGCTCAGCTCCAAAGAGGACATAGCTGCTGCCACATCCGCTTCCCTGCCTTTTGTGGGACATCCCCATTCATGGCATTCTGCACTACCCCCAGGCATCGGTTCATAAAATTGCCTTATCCTGAGCCCTCCAAAATCCCTGGACCTTGCAGGAAATCACCTCACCTCAAAAGCAGAAAAGGGTGAAAAAACATTTTCAGATCTGGGCAATCACTTTGTTGAAAAAATTGAAACCAAGTTTTCAGGAGTATTTTCAAAAGTGGAGAAGCATGTTCACTCATCTTTAGAAACTGTCTATACCTAAAAACTGTTTAGGTAGTGATGCAGGTTGGTTGAGTTATCATCAAATTGTCTCAGCCACTTGGCTTCCCAAAGAAATTGCCTTGAAAAATCATGAAGAGACTGAGACTAAAGATGTAAGAGATGGCAATATTTTTTTAAAAAAACAAACAAGACCAAAAAACTACGATCTCTCTTCTCTGTTCCCTCCTATTTTTAAGTAATCTTTTGCCCATCATGAACCCTGAAAACAAATGCTAATACTGCTTCTCAGAGTAAATTGTCAAAGTAATTTTGATGGCTGGACTTAGGCAGATGGACGTTTTATTTACAATGCCAAGCCAGATATCCTGGGATAAACACTAATTCATGAGATCTCTAAGGACTTTTGTGTGCCTAGAGGAGAAACATGAAAATGATCCTGTGATTGAAAAGGTGCATGATCTCATTGAGAAAGTTATTGTCGCAGTAATCTTACAAGCCTACAAAAGTTGGGTGACTAGCAAGGTCCTTCCCTGTCTTCTGAGGGGTCTGGGTCCATTCAGCTCTGGGACCTTCTTTTTTTTTTTTTTTTTTTTTTTTTTTTTTTTTTTTTGAGACGGAGTCTCACTCTGTCACCCAGGCTGGAGTGCAGTGGCCGGATCTCAGCTCACTGCAAGCTCCGCCTCCCGGGTTCACGCCATTCTCCTGCCTCAGCCTCCCGAGTAGCTGGGACTACAGGCGCCCGCCACCTCGCCCGGCTAGTTTTTTGTATTTTTTAGTAGAGACGGGGTTTCACCGTGTTCGCCAGGATAGTCTCGATCTCCTGACCTCGTGATCCACCCGTCTCGGCCTCCCAAAGTGCTGGGATTACAGGCTTGAGCCACCGCGCCCGGCCAGCTCTGGGACCTTCTTAAGGGCCCTTTGAGGTCCTGTCATCTTCAGTATTTTTTAGCAACTCACATTCTGATATGACCTGCCAGGGAGAGGGTGAAAACGATCAGCAATGGCAACTTCCACTGTTATAATTCCTTTTCCTGATGGTAAAAGCAGGACATGCTCATTGCAGAGAATTTGGAAAATATAAAATAAAAAGAAAATAAAAGGTAACCGTATTTTTCCACCCACTTATAATCACCATCAACTTTCTGATGACCTCCTCTTCCTTTTTAAGCTTCAGTTTTCCGTGTTTTGATTTTTAAATTATTTCAACCATTCATTCATCCTTATTTATTGAGAGCATACTATTGTTCTGTTCCCATCATCAGTGATGTAGCGGTAGAATAAATAATGTCCTGTTCTCATGGAAATGAAATAGTATCAGAGACAGTTACTAAAATTCAGAGGGCAGAAAGACCATGGGAAAATCTTCAAACACTTGGAAGTTAAATGGCATACTTCTAAATAATTCATGGGTCAAAGAAGGAGTCTCAAAGGGAATTAAAAACACATAGAACTCTGAGATGCAGCTAAAGCAGTGCTGAGAGGAAAATTTATAACACTAGATGCTAACATTAGAAGAGGAAACATCTGAAATCAATAATCGAAGTTCTCACTTCATAAAACTAGAAAAATAAGAAGAAAATTACACCCAAAGCAAGCAGAAGAAAGGAAATAAAAATAGGAGCAGAAATAAATTGAAAATAGGAAAATAATAGAGAAAAATCAATAAAACAAAAAGATTGTTCTTCAAAAACAATAAAATTGATACATCTCTAGAAAGACTGACAAAAATAAAAAGAGAGAAGACATATTACCACAATCTCAGAGTTGAGACAGAGGATATCACTACAAATCCTGTAGTTGCTAAAAATATGATGAGCAGATGCTTTGAACAACTTTATGCTCATAAATTCAACAACTTAAAAGGAATGAACCAATTCTGTAAATACTGCAACCTATCAAAACCCAACCCAGATGAAACAGACAATCTGAATAGCTCAAAAACTATGAAAGAAATGGACTTTGTAATTTAAAAAGCTTCAGAGATGGTTTTTCTGGAGAATTCTTAAAAAAAAAAAAAAAAAACCAGGAATTTTACACCATGTTATTCAGAAACTAGAAGAGAAGGGAATACTTCCCAATTCATTTTATGAAGCTGGTTTAACCTTGATTCCAAAGCCAGATAAAGATTTTACAAGAAAAGAAAATCACAGACCAGCATCTCTCATGAACTTAGATGCAAAAATCCTCAACAAAATATTAGCAAATCAAATCCAGAGAGGAATAAACATACCTTAGGGAGGTAGGGGTGACTTAACAAAATGAGCTAAGACATCACATTTAGACAGACTTAGTTTCAATTATCAGCTTCCCATGTGATACAATAACTCAACCTCAGTTTACCTATCTGTAATACAGGGGCAACACACATATTTTAGGATTGGTTCATGTATCTAGTAAATGAAATTATATGTCAAAAAAAAGTCAATGGAAGTTATATTATTTTGTCATATTTCTTTTTTTTTTTTTTCTTTTTTTGATAGAGATAGGGTTTCACCATGTTGGCCAGGCTGGTATCGAACTCCTGAGCTCAAGTGATCCACCTGCCTTGGCCTTCCAAAGGGGATTACAGGTGTGAGCCAACACGCCCACCAGGTTTTCTCTTATGGAGGAACTAAATGTTACAGCAATAGCTGGTATTTTGTTATGGCAGACCAAGCTGACTAATACAGTCATGGCCCTTAAACGTGGCCCACGAGACCCTGCACCTTCTGGCCTCCCCTCTTTCTGATCGCTACCGTGACCTTTCCTCTGTGGCCCACTCTCTCCAGCACCACAGGCTTCCTTGGTATTCTCTGAATGACACGAGCACATTCCTACCCCAGGGCCTTTGCACTCTCATCTCCCCAGACAGCCTCACTCTTCCTCCACGGAAATTTCCCTCATTTCCTTCAAGCTTTTGTTCAAAAAGCTTCAGCCTTCTCAATGAGGCTGACCCTGAAAACTCTTTACAACTCACCTTCCCCCATTGAGCACTTCAACCCCCCTTACACGTTCTACTTAAAAAAAAAATCTTCCCACATATTGATCACTTCCTAACATATGGTATCATGTATTTGTGATATTGTCTATTGCCTGTCACCCTCTGAAAAATGATAAGCTCCAGAAAATCAGGTATACGGGTCTCTGTTTTGTTCACTGAATCATTCCAAGTGCCTAGGACTCTGGCTGACACATATTTCCTGCTCCAGAAAACCTGTTGGCTGAGTGAATGAACCTCTTCCCCCAGCGAGCGAGCCTGTCGGCCGAGGAGACCACGCCATACCAGGATTTCCCAGCAGGTGGCAGCCGACTCACGCCAGAGACGGCTGGGCGCCCACACTTTGAACTCAAGGTTCTTCCAATTAAGTGCAAAATAAGGAGCCAGGAGAGTCATCAAGTTTGGCTTACTCCCGACGCAGACTTGCACTGGAGGTTGTGTGGAGGGGATGAGCCAGTGAGTTGATAAAGCCTTTATCTAATACAGGAGGCTGTTTACCCACAATTCAGGGGTAAAAAAATGTAAACAGCTGTTGAGATGAAAGAAAGTCAGAGTCCTCCCACGGTGGGGAAAAGGGGCAGAAGAAAGCCTGTGGCCACGGATTGGCATCACTCCTGTAGATGGAAAAGTGACATTGGACAACTACTCAGGGAAAAAGGTGAGCCCCTAACACACCGCCGGTGCCGTGGACATTTCTAGTCTTATTATTATTATTATTTTTTGAGACGGAGTTTTGCTCCTGTTGCCCAGGCTGGAGTGCAGTGGTGTGATCTCGGCTCATGCAACCTCTGCCTCCCGGGTTCAAGGGATTCTCCTGACTGCCTCCTGAGTAGTTGGAATTATAGACGCCCGCCACCATGCCCAGCCAATTTTTTTGTATTTTTAGTAGAGAGGGGGTTTCACCAGGTTGGCCAGGCTGGTCTCAAACTCCTGACCTCAGGTGATCCACCCACCTTGGCCTCCCAAAGTGCTGGGATTACAGGCGTGAGCCACCACACCTGGCCTAATCTTACTGTTAACACACCAGAAGATGCTTTGTTATGAAACCTTGAATCTCCCTGTGGGCCTCTGCCAAGCTGCCCTCCTCCCAGGTGCTTCTGTTATCCATCCAGTCATGGAATTGAGTTGCAGTAGTAAGGAACCCTTTGAAAGCCAAGTGCAAGGTGAACCTGCCTTCCAGCAAATTCAGCATTTGAGTGTATCCGTTTAGTGGGAGGCTCCCAGGCAGAAACTGCATGATAATCTGAGTCTACAAGCCCAGAAAAAATCCATGTCAGCTGATCAACCTAGTAACTATCACAGTGACTACAAGAGCTAGCATCCATTGAGCGCTGCCTGTGTACCAGGCATGTGCTGGAGATGTTTACCTGCACTATCTTATTCATTGTCAGTGCCAACCTCTGAAGTTCACCCTCTTCTCATCCCCAACTCACAGATGACACGAGAGAGGTTGTCACTAGCCCACGGACCCAGTTCGGTGTTTCGGATTTCACCCTCACCCCTGCAGGGGAGGAATCCGCTGAGATGTACCAAGGTGTCCTGATAGACCTCAGAGAACATCTAGTCCACCACTCAGTGTTGACAGATGGGTAAGCTGAGGCCCAAAGAGGGGAAGGGACTGGCTAAGTTTACACAGAAGCCTGCCCAGTCCCTGTGCAGGAAGAGCAACCCAGTGCCTTTAACATTCCCAACCAATGTCAGGAGGTCAAGCACAGGCCTTTATTATTTATTTGTTTGCTTGTTTATTTAGAGACAGGGTCTTGCCCTGTTGCCCAGGCTGGAGTGCAGTGATGCGACCATAGTTCACTGCAGCCTCGAACTCTTGGACTCAAGCAATCCTCCCTCCTCAGCACTCCCCATCCCCAGTAGCTGGAACTACCGGCACATGCGTCATCATGTTGTATTGCTATGTTGCCCAGGCTGACCTCGAACTCCTGAGCTCAAGTGATCTTCTCACCTCGACCTCCCAAAGTGCTGGGATTACAGGTGTGAGTCACCGTGCCTGGCCAATCGCAAGCTTTTAGTTTGCTTTCCTCAGATTCCACATTTGCTTCAGTCCTTGCTGGCACTGAACACTTTTGCATAAGAGCTTGTGAAAATAACACCACCTCTCTTATTTTAGGAGTTTTATCAACTAGTAGACTGTCCAGCTGGAATCACTGGCCTCTCATAATGTGAATTCTGGCTTCTGTGGCTATTAGCTGGTGACTTTGGTCAAGCCACTCAACTCTGAGCTGGTTTGTTCGTTGGTAAAATGGGGGTAGCAATATATATTCATGAAAGGCTAGATTCTAAGCTAGTGCTGTCCCGTACAAATGTAATGATAGCCACATATGTAATTTTAAATTTTCTAATAGCCACATCAAAAAAAAAAAAAAAAAAAAAGTAAAGGGGGAACCAAAGCACACACCATGATTAATGTTCATAAATTGTTTCATTGAATGCAGTAGCTTCCAAATACCATCATTTCAACGTCTAGTCAATATCCAATTGTTAATGCGATACTTCGTTTCATTTTCACATGAAGTCTTCAAGATGGGGTGTGTGTTTTGCACTTACAGCACATCTCAACTTGGACTGGTCACGTGGCAAGGGGCTGCTGTGTGGGACAGGACTGTTTTCCCCCTCCATAGCATTTTGAGCACGTGGCTCTGCGCTTTAGGAGGATCTTTGTATCTACACCTTGTCTGTAGATGGTCATCATTTGGGACCCTAACAGAACAGAGATGGCCTTCTTCCTGGCCTAACAAGTCCCCAGTACTCCCCTGTCGTCAGCAGGCCTCTGGGCTGTCTTTGAAAACCTTCCCTTCCGAGATAGGTTTCCTCCAACACCACAAACAGGTCTTTCCCATTCTCTGCAAATGTTCATGTCCATTTTGTCCTTGATGTGGTGGAAGTGTTCTTAAAAACTGCACAGCAGACTAAGACACAGTAAGAGAGAGGAATGCAGAGGATGGTGGGGTGATGCGGGAGGTGGAGAGATCACATCCTCCCTCGGGATGGGCTTGGTATTGTGGCACCCTGGGGCTCAGGGATCTGGTCTGTGGAATGTTGTCTTTGCTTGCCAGCTTAGCGCCCCACCTCGCCGCGCCCAGCTCAACTCTGTGGCTTCAACGGAAACACCCTCATTACAGGAGTGCCCCACCTCTGTGACCGCGACTTATATTTGATAATAAGCAGGTAGAAGGGGTGCAATTGTACATGGGCCGTGCTCAGAGAAACATGAAAAGGCTCAAGCCACGCTTCACCCTCAGGGGCCTGGACTGGGAGATGGGAGCCAGCGTCTGCTTGGGTTCTCCTGACAGCAATGGTCACTGTGGCTCGTGGAGAGTGACAAATGCAGGTGGGGTAGCTCAGACACAGGGCTCTAGGCTCTCCAGCGGGTCTAGGGGTGGTAGAGACCCCTCTAACTCTCCCCTCACTCCAGCTCCCAGACAGTTCCTTCCTTTTTATTTTTTCTGGAAGGCAGAGGTTGAGGGCCAGAGCTCTGCATTCAGCCTACCTGGGTTCACATTCCAGCTCTGCCACGTCCTGTGTGGCTTTGGTGAGTGATCCAACCTCTCTCTGCACTGGTGTCTTCCTCTATGAGTGGGGTGGTAACTCCTTCTTGGGGTTTTCTGAGGAATAAATGAGGCAATAAACAGGAGACTCAGCATCAGACCAGTGTACCATGATTATATTTTACAGGGAGAGACATGGTTCCTAGTACTTTGGCTTGTCCAGAATAGAGGCATCTTATTTTCCCCAATCAATTAATTTTATAGTTAAAAAATACAATATTAATAAAATCTATGCTGACAGAGAACAATCTCTGAGATGTACTCTGAAGTGAAAAAAGCAAAGTGTATAATATAGGCCAACATGGAACACAGACACGTGGCCTGTGTTTGGGATGGCACAAAAGTTACTGGTAATGAGTGACTGGGGAGGGGAGCCGGAGACAGCAGTGCGAGATAGCTTGACTTTTCATTCTCTAGCCCCTTGTAATATTCCCATTTTACCAGGAGTATGTATTCCTGCTTTTTTTTTTCGTTGTGAACATGAATTAATTTTTTCAATTAAAAAAAAAACTAATTCAAATATCCCTCCCACCCCCACCAATGATAAATTATCATTGTAAAAAATTTCCCAGTTCTGAAGAGAGAGCCTGAAAATGCTGTACCATTTCATTGCTGGGTGTTAGAGGATCCAGGGTCCCTGCCTGGGAAGATGGTTTGCTCCGAAATTCATTTTCCATGTATCAGCATTTAAGCATCTGTCGGGGTTTAACTGGGGTAAGAGGAAAGCAGCTACTCACGCATGTAACACGTATGCACCCAGCAAACATAGCGCTTCCCTCTCACACACGCACGCACGCATGCACACACACACTTACACAACCTAAGGACTACACATGAACCCCTCACCAACCAAACCACTTCATACCCACATACTAACAAATGAGCCACTTCACCTATCCGCATCCAACCCCAAAAGCTCTTTACACCCACAGACACACAACGCCCACCCCGACAACCAAGCACTCCACACACCACAACAGCCTTTACACACATGCACCCAACGACCAAAGTACTTCACACATGCAACCCAGAGATCAGAAGCGCTTCACGCATCTGCCCAATAAGCAAAGCACTTAATATACACACGCACAGAGCTTTACACACATATGCACCCCAACCAAAGGGTCCACACACACACTCACATGCCCCAACGCCTAAAGCACTTCACACACACACCCACATGAACACCCAAACAGCTTTACTCCTTCAACCAACGTGCATCATACACAGTCCCCAACAACCAAAATATTTTACCCCCATGCACCCCAACAGCCAATGCTCTCCATACAGATCCCCCTTCAAAAGCCCAAAGTGCTTCAATTGGTTTGATGCAGAGGTAGATACTTGAACACCAAGACATTAGACTGCGACTTTCTTTTCAGATTAATGAGCAGAAAAAGATTGGAGGAGGGAGGGGGCGAGAATGGCGGGAGAGAGCAATTACACCCAAATCTTTTCTCTGTTGATTAGGGATTCCTTCTCTAGCCTGCTTTGGCTCCAGCTAAATCTTTTTCTAATGAGATGTGGCTTATCCAGATCAAGGCCCTGAGAAAAAAGTTGCAATTAACTTTAAGAAGAAAAAGAGTGAGTGAGAAAAGGAAGGAAGAGTGGAGGGGGCGGCCAGGGGTAGGGGGTGGGGGCAGGCCCAGGGGCCTGGATGATCAGGCTGGGAGGAGCCCAGGGGCTGGAGCAGGCTCCCAGCAGGTGGAGGGGCGCAGGCCCCGGCTGTGCTTCTGGAGTTTAGGGAACAGCCCTGTGATGCCCCTGCCAGCCTGGGTCAGGCCTCGTGGCCACTTCAGGCTCAAATCAAGGTGCAGGAATGGTGAGTGCCCTCGGGTTTTGGCTTTCCCGGCTCTGCACCCCAATCCCTGGCAGCGGCCTCTCTCCTTTCTGTCTGCCTACCCTCTGGAGGACATGGGCCCTCCTCTGTCCACCCAGAACCTCGGGTGGTGTCTGGTCAGCACTGACTCTGCTCTTGGGAGCTGGGGGGTCCAGCAGTCCTCCGGCGGCCGGGAGCCACGGGGAGCTGGGGGGTCCAGCAGTCTTCCAGCGGCCGGGAGCCATGGGTTTGGCGTGGGCCTCAGCACTGATGGCTGCCGCCGAGGTCCCCCCGACTTGCCTCACTCTTTCCATCTGGGAGTGAGGTCTTGAGTTATTTTAATGTGAGTCACTTAGAAGGGTGGACAGGGCCTAGGACTGAAGGAGACACTTCATATTGAGATGCTAAAAACACCTCACGATCCTAGAACTGACACAGATTGACCTTTCTGTGTTTCTCTCTGGATAAAATCAAGCTAGACCCAGTCACAGTTGACGAATAGTCACTTCCTCTCGCTGAGGCTCAGTTTCGTCACCTGTTAAGAAAACGAAAGAAGTGGGGCAGTGGATCTCCAGAGCCTCTGCCAATCCTGACACCCCCAGATCCAGCAGAAGGCACAGATGCAGACTCCGCATGTCCTGATTTGAGTACTCACGGCTCCCTCCCTGATTCCCAAGCTCTGCTCGGCACATTCGCGGGACACTTACACCTTCCTGAAAGTTGTTTTCCGTGCAGAGATTGGTTTTTGCCCTATTCGGCAAGAAATATCCAGCAATGCCTGAAGGCAGCTTTCACAAATTTTGAGGTCTCTAACCTGGCGCTTGTGGTGGGGTCTCGGCTAATAACTGGACATCTGTATGCCAGCCGAGCTGGGGAGCCCGAGCCTGGATCAGATGGAGTTAGGATGGGTGGGGTGGATGGGGGCGCAGGAGTGGGCTGCAGTCTCCTTTCTCTTTGGTCACACACAGCCAGGTATGCGGAAGGGGTCTGGGCAGATTATTTAAAGCTGAAGTCCTTTATTTTCCTACCCACAGCATTTCCTTTTCCCGTTCTGTGCATCTCCCTGTGCAAATTAAAAAGGATTTTGATGGCACGCTGGTGACTCCATGGGATAAAGTGAATCTGGGTCTCTGCAACTTGCTTGACTTCCAAAGAAGCGGGGCCCTTGCATGTTGGTGGCCACCCACACACACGGGCTTCCTCCGTGGGATGTCTGGGTGACCCCTTGCCAAATAAGCCCCCCGGGCCTGGGCACAGATGAGCTGGGCCCGTCTTTCCTGTGTCTAAGTTCTAGAGAGGTCACACAAGTCCCCACCTCCAAGCCCCAAGAATTTCCTTCAAGCCTGGTTCCCGGGTCCCCAGCCAGCCCTCCCTTCTGTCCCTGCCCTCCACAGTGTTGGTTGCTGGAGACAATCTGGGCTTTCTCCTGTGTCTCTCTGGCTGTCGCCAATGTAATAAGCATATGTGCTAGAAATCCTAGCTGCAGTGCTAAGTTAGAAATTCTTCTTAAACATATAGCAAGGTCAGATGAAGGGGAAAAAAATAGAAAACAAAACACAAAACCCTGAAACAGAAATTGGACACAGGAGGGCAGATGTAGACTGAACAGGAAGTGCTGGCCTGAGGCTAAATGAAACAGCTGTCACCATTGTTCTGGACTGAAAACTGCCTTTGCAAACTCCATGCGGTCCAGGCTCAGAAAGCAGATGTTAATAATTACAGCACATGAAACGAAGGGCACAGGATTAGGCAAGTGACGAAAAAGAAATGGTACCAGTAGATTTATAACTCGCCTAGGCAAATCTGCTTGCTGGTGTGGGGGGTGGGCTGGGCGGCTTCCCTGCAGAGGCCCCTCCTCAACCCCCTTCCTAGTTTGGCATTTTGGCTTCCGGGATGATCTCAGAATTTGGGGATTGTTTTATGGTGGGGGGCCATGGAGACCCATTCAAGCTGCCTTTCCAGGGACCCCGTGACTCCAGGGCCATAGACGGTTGCCTCTGACCTACAGGAAACAGGATAAAATCTCGAATGCTCAGCCCAGGTACAAAAAGGGGATCTGTGGGCAGAAAATCATTGGATGGGTTGCTGCAAGCCGGGACTCATGCGGACACAAAGCTGGGCAGCCATTCTTGGAGCTCTTGTTTTTACCAAAGGGTTCACGTCTAAAATCCAGGAGCTCAAGTTCTTTACAGCTGAAATTGATTCACACTTTAAAATCAGCCAGACCCTAGCGCCTTGGCAAGGGAGCTCAAGGAGGATGTTGGGACACTTAAATAAAGTCAGCAAGGCGAGTTTCTTGGGCTAATTACATAAGTAGAAAAGGCAGAGTCTTCACATGTTTTCTGAACATTCCTCAGTGCTTTTCCATGTGAGCCAGAATTGTAAAAAAACAAAACAAAACAACACACTCGCATCCACAAAAATTCCTCCCATCCCACCACCCCCTAGAAAGGACGTCTCTAGGAAAGGTTAGGAAGAAGGTAAAGCATGTGTTTGGCATCTTTATGCCTGATATGGAAACCATATGCTTAAATACACTAGCAAACATACTTAATATAACACTCTCTTTTATTAAATGTGGTTTTATAAACGCTCTCCCCAGCCAGGGCACCTTCCCCATGCTGGAGGCTGGAACTTGGCAAAATAATCTTCCCGCTGTTACATCTATTGATACACATTTTTTGAAAATGAGTCTCGGACCCTTGGAAAATAGACTGGTTCTGATTATTATTGCAAGAGGGAAGGGGCACACGAGGGCATCTTTTTTCCTCTGATAAATTAAAAGAACTGTAACGGGTGCTTTCTGCAACCTGTAAAAGGGCAGAGCCATCTGTGATTCATTTAGCAGCTCCTTATAGAAGATTTATTTGATTAATTCGGTCAGAAGAGAGAGAATATGGATTTTCCCCTTCTCTGAAAGGCACATATACACTCACACATGCACACATGCACCCACCCATGGGTAGACATCTCAGGAATGAAAAATGACTAATCGTGTTATTGGAACTGGCGAACGCAGGGCCTCAGTGGTGAGATAGCAAGCTCCCGCCCTGCCAATGGGAGGGCCAATTACAGAAGAGATTTAATATCCTCAGGCCCAATGCCATCAAAGAGTGAGCCCAGAGGATAATACCGTGAACTACTGGATCGCTTTGCTTAGGCATTGATTACTGGGTGCCAGGCACTGTGTTGAGCATTTTGAATGCATTATCTCATTACATCATCACAATGACCCTTGCAGGAGGTACTGTCGCCATCACCACTTTATAGACTGGGAGATGGCCCCATTCCCGGCAGGCCTCAGCTCAAAATTCTTTTCACTTTTTCCAGTGGAATTTTGCTTTCTCAGTCCTCCGTGCCTACAGCAGACAGATGGAGGCCACGCCTTACATTTATCTAGTGGTGGGTAATCTTGGAAGGGGTTATCCGCATTGGCTGTGCTTTATCCCTATAGGTTTCAGTTCAGTGTTGATTAGAGAAACACTCTCCTTTAGGCTTATCTCTAGTCTCAAGGAGAGCTCTGGCCTCCTCTGGCCTTTGTTGCCTCTAACTTACGTGACCCAACCCTATAAGCAATCATCTCTAGACCACTGTCAATTCCTGGTTGGGGGAGGTGGTAACAGCCCCTTAGAGAGGTCCTTGCAAAGGGCAAAGAAAACAGTACAGGTGAAAGGAATCATAAAAACACACAAGATCTGACCCAAAGAAGATTTTGGATGTCAATGTCAGGAGTGGCAAATATATGGTAAGTAAATGTGTCACTCCTCTCTTTCCCTTGCTCACAGCAGACATTGCTAATTGATCCCAGCTCTGTCTTCTACTAAGCCTCAAAATCCTCAATATAGAACTCCAGTCAGCCTCTACCAATAGATCAGAATTAGCAAAAATAGTTGAAAGCTGTTTGCAGTCCCTTTCAGTTGAATGTTTCATTTTGTGGAGGGAGAAACAGGGGCCCAGAAAGAAGTCAGCTACAAAAGCAGTCAGAGAAGGTCAGTTCTCAGCCTCAGATCTCTGACTTTCTCTGCCCGGTATTTTCAGCATCCACACCAGTGGGGCCGGTCCAAGCCAGGGTGCAGTGGGTCAGAAGCCTCTGTATTTTGCTGGGTCTCTGCTGTCACCCCCTCCCTGCAATAGAACGTCACTGAAGCTGCTCTGCAGACAGGATAAAAGGCATCCTTTTGAAGGCTGCAGAAGATTGAAATCTTTGTGACTTTAAAATAATTAACCCCAAACCAGGATGGAGTGGGGCAGCCTGAGCCCATGATCTGTTACAATCCAGGGTCTAAGATTCTAGAAAGAAGTAGAAGTTTTCATTTTGGAAATACTGGCATCAGTAGACGCTCCTCATTCTCTCACTGGC